CTGCATATACTCCGGCGTGCGTCCCATGGGCATTCCATCCAACTCGATAGTATGCGGTCCGAACATCTTAGCTCCCTCATATCCTGTTGAATCAGCATGACCAACCAGACAAGCACAGTAGAGACCTCACCGGACTGCGGATCCTTGCTATACCAATTGATACGTTCCCCTGTGACTTTAGACACCTCGGGGTAATGATGTAACGACGACGGGCGTAACCTCTTATACGGCGAGAGAGGGTACCTGTCGACATACACTAACCCTATACATACGTACCACACTTTTCTCAACTTACCATCGCATCTTGCTAGCGCCATAGTATGGCACATAGAAATGAGGCACCACCTTAGAAATGTGGCTAAAGTGCGTTGGACTGGAAAGACATTGACGCGAATGTAAAAACATCTTACCAACTGACAGTCTCACGAGACGCAGTCAAGCGAACCCGGGCGAGCGAAAGTTTTCCGACCGTATTCGACCTCAGAGCTTTGGAACTTCAGAGACGCTCACCATCGCCTATGAGGGACGCATATCAGATCCTAAGGAGCAATGCCGAAACCTAAGGGAGGCGGAGCCCGTTACTTTATCGAGTGGTGTCCGACGACAAAGTGACTCAACCGAATGTACTCCATACGTGGAGGTGATTCTGCTGAGGCGGGATAATATCGCTTCGAATGGTAGAGGAGATATGAGAATGTGGATTTTTCGCGCAGGATAATAATGAGCTCAAATATAAGTAATGATAGCCCCAGTCCGAGAATCAACACATCCAGCACAGCCTACCACCACTACGTGCAGGCGGTCGCGACCTACATCCTATCGACCGTCGCCAACTACGACACTCATAAGCAGTTATCAGAAACTCGCTATAACATGCCGTCCTTGCTATGTTCCCTCAGCCGTCCAGGTGTGTCCAAGGCCAGCGTCCTGGCCAGCTCGTCCAATTGACTAAGACAAGCATCCGAGCCTTCCTCAGCAGTGGCCAAAGCCTCCTGTATCCGTCTCATCTCCTCAGTCGGTTGCAGTCTGGTGCTGATCTGTGTTGCCCATGAGAAGTCCGTCTTGCGGCCCTCGTACATCACTACTCACACAGATATCCCCACGATAGACTGACACCATACTCTTACTTCCAGGTGGTAACGATACACTGACCGAGCCAGCCCTCGACAACACCACGCCTCTACCATGGTCATCAACTATACAAACAAATACACCATCGCTGGTCCCGCTTACCTACACCACTTCGCTGCGATCCCTATGGCCGTGACCATCTTGATGATGCTCCTAGGGCCAATACCTAAGGGCCATGGTGATCGAGGCCAGTCCCTGACCCTACCCACCAGTTAAACGCATAGCCTCCCCTCGGAAGAGGTGGGAGGCCACGGCCCACGCTAGCTTGTCAGGAAACGTCTTGCTAGAGATCTCAAAGTCGATCAATGCTGCTAACGGCGGAGGCCCCTCGGCCACTTCCAACCCAACCCAGATCTCCTCCGCGGCTCCCTTGTCTGGAACACAGTGCCCACCAGCAGAGCCCTGCGGCCGCCCTACCATAAGCCACTACGCCCTCCGGCGCTGTAGTGAAATACAAGTCCAATTCCATCTTGTACTGCTGCCTTAGATAAGCTGCCGCTCGTACAGCCTTAGCACAGGCATCAGGACCTATCTACAATGGAATAATGAGTTACCACTGTGACTAGCCTTGAGAGTAGTACCATCTGGAGGACGACCATTTGGCCCGGCTCCTGCAGAAGTCCGCTATCGCTTG